CAATTCTGAGATACTAAGTCGGAATTCTGACTTACTAAGTAGGAATTCTGAGATACCATAGCACGTTTTTTTTTTACTTCCTGGCGGAAACGGGCTTCCATATATTTGTGATACCCTTTCTTGGAAAGTGTTTCTTCTTATAAAGTTCCCATTAACTTTTGTTAAAATTGCTCTCATATTTTCAAAGTCTTCACGTTTTAAGGAATAAATAGTATTCATATTTTTAATATGTTATTAGTTGCTTTAGTGTTATAGTATATCCTATAAAATATGTCAATAATTCTCAATTTAGTTCATTTCCACTGCAATGAAAATCTTCAAGAATCAGTGGCCTGGATCAAATCGAATGTTTGACCCACTGACAAACCCAAGGCTTGATGGCAGGATTTTCTCTGCCAGAGGATTTTACCTAGAGAAGATTCCACTTTTTATTTATTTTCCATTTATGTTAGATAAACATATGATTGACTAAGACCAATCCCAGGTGTTATATTTAATTAAATTTACTGCAAATGCAGATGCCATTATCAGGTATATATACATTACAGTACATGATACCACAGTTGCTGCACTTGCAATGACAGAACTACAGTATTAAAGTCATTGTACTTCTATATTTAATTGAATATGATGTTGGAAGTATTCTTAATCAATGCAGAATTGCATGTTTTGTCTTTATAGCTGTCCAACACCAGGCTGCGATGGCAGTGGACACGTCAGTGGCAAATATGCAAGACACAGAAGGTAAAGGTTTCTTTTTTTGTTAAATACAGCACATTTTCAGAGTTATGCAGTGCCTGGTGTGAAAGTTTGCTGATGCAATTCTGTATAGAGTAGTTGTTTTTTGACAGATAATTTTTAACAAAAATGTGAATAGCTGTTTTTGGATTGAAAGTCTTGTCCCCTTGTTTGTAGGGCATTTCGATTTTTCTTTTCAATTCTAATATTCTACTCATCACGTTTGAAGCAATTACTCAGAGTGCTGTAGTCTTCATTTTGGATAAAAATGAAGTATCACATTTTTCTTTGGTTACTAAAGGAAGAAACTAATTATACAACAATAGTACTTCTTTCCTCTGCTTTCGTACAGTATATGTTAACAAAAGTGACACGTTCCATTCAACACTGTTCAAAACATGTTTTTCACTTTTAACTTTAAGCGAGAAGCTTTGCAATTGCTTTCCAAAGTTAGGTGTTTCAGTATTTAAATCAATTCTAGGTCTCAAATACCATTAAGGTCTGAAGTACTATTCAGAACGATAGGTAAGACAGTTGTTTTGGTGAGTTTTAGTTTTTGGAATTTGGGTTGAATAAGAGACTTTGTAAATTATAAACTATTACTACAGCTTCCTGCTTAATCGCATGACCACATAACAAACTTTACATATGCATACTACAAGATTTAACTCTGTGTTGATGTGTCTTTAACTTCCTTCAAGGATGGAAAATATTTTTCCATAGTAGTCTGTCTTACAATATATTGTAAGAGGGTTACGAGTTGAAAATGTTTTTCTGCTCTGTAGCTCCATAATTATGTTGTTTTTGTAAGGAAGTTACTTATTAAATTGTTACTATTTTTACTAATGTTATGCTCTTTACATAATAGATATTAAACAAATTTAAGAAAGAATGTTTTTTGGAATTCCAAGCAATGCTCTCAGCTTCAACAAATTATTGAATTAAGAAGGCTGCTTTAGTCTACTGTGTTTGTCATACATCAGCCCATAGCTGTGAAGCTCAGAACTACAGACAGCAGAGAATGAGGAAGAGTAATCAGATTGTTTTGATCCCCCCAAATTCTAGACACCCCTTTTTTGTGACACAAAACAAAAACAAGCTAAACATCCCCATACCAGAGGTTCAGCTCCTATTGTAGAAGAGGCACATTTCTCACCAATAGCACGGTATTACCTGCAGGTGATTATTGTTGCTTTGTAAAGCTCTTTGAGAAAGCACCTTTAACAGCACTTTATAAAATAAGATGTATTATTACTGTCATCTCAGGTGTCACAGAGAGAGCTCTGTCCAACTAATCCCACCCCATTCTTCACAGTGCTCAGCCAATTGCACACTGTTGCTTGCACTGTTCACTGCACTGTTCCTCAGCTCAGGCACCCCCCTTTACAAGTTGAGCCACTTTGGTGGCCTCAATGTTCTAGTTATTAAGAACAGTAATGTTTATAAATATTTCAAGGAAACGTTTAAACCTGTCAAAATGCAGTGTCAGTTTGGTTATTCATAAAAACATGAGGTGCAGTTTAATGTTAATCCATCTGCAAATTGCTACCAAGAAAAAGGTGTGAGTCCCTTCCCTACTTTTATGACCTAACAGACAACAGAGGAGAAATGCATTTTTCTTTGCGATCCATTTTGATCATCTTAAGTTTAACCTCTCGAAGGTTGTCCTGCTTCTTCTACTGACCTCCTCTTCTCTGTGATCTATATCCTTCTTCCATCTCACTTCCTCTCTGGAACACTCCAGTCACTTCTTGAGCTCTATCACATGCAGAATTATGTTGTTTACCTTTTCTTTCCTGTACTTCAGTTACTGTACCTCATGTTGGTCCATTACCTGCAATTGAAAATTCAAAATGATTTAGATTAGAATCCAAGACTGGGCAAAGACCGTGGATTTGATGTAGACAATTGCATTATAATTGTAAATTACCACAAAAAAAATACTCAAATAAACTATTAAAATATTCCAGTAAACCTTGAGGTTAAATACGATACAGCATAGTACATATAAGAATGACATAGGTTGCAGAGAAGACATCATTTTCATTTTTTTGAAAATGTGCGGGAGCAATAAAAAGGCAACATAATTCAGAGTTTGGTACACTGAGCTTGTGAAGAAACCAATGACAGCTACAAATTCACATAGCTATTGTCAGGGAAATTAAAGAATTTGGACCAGGTATGCTGATGTTATTGAGAACATGATATAGGTACTGTAAATTCATTATGTAGACTAACATTTGGCACAGGGTCACAGGCTATGATGATGTGTAGTGCCTGTTGGATAAAATACAAGCTGTTCATGCTCAACACAAACTGTACTGTACTTTGCACCAGGTTATAAATGCTGTGTTGTAGGTTCTGTCACTTTCTTATAAACTCATGGCACGCCTGTGTTCTCCACTGTGTCTCTGAGCCAAAGAGCTCATCCCTGATGACATGTACAGTAAGCCACATACAACACATGTTCAATGGTACTCAGCTCTAAAATTGAACATCCTTGAAATAACTGTCATATTCTCAGTTCACAAGTAAAACATTGTTAAACACAACATGATGAAGACATGCATTGTCCTGTTAGAATATTGTCACATCGGGATGAGCCTGCAGGAAGGACAGCAACTTAGGTCCCAGGACTTAATCAATGTAAGACCATGCAATCCAGTTTCATATCAATCAATGTAATGGAGTTCTCTAGCAACTCATCACTGCTGCTCAGACTCATGACTCCCAGATCACGGCCTATTACTGAAGGAACACGTTGAACTGTAAAGTTTTACAGGGTTAGAAATTGCTGGCTCTTAGATCCTAGGATTGCATGACAAATGTTATGATTTCCAGTCCAGTTTCCAAAATACAGATTTCCCACATGTTCTTGTGTTTCCATAAGCAGGGTATTATTAGTCTATTTTTGTGTTTTCCTTTGTTAATTTTGACTAGGTTTGACTAGGTTTGACATTCAACAGGTTAAATCACCTGTGCTCAATAAGCTCATAAACTAATGAAGTGATTTACAGTACTTCCAATACAACACGTTAAAGTCACTCATGTGTATCTTGGTCAGTCATAGATGATCAATTAATGAATTAAAAATACACCAAGACATGAGATGTTCTATAAAAATTGCCATTATAATAGACCTAATTTACAACATTATGTAGAATATGGAACCACTCCAATGAAGAGCAACCAAGTATGTTCCTGAACCTAAATGAATATTATACTTGGTTCAATGAACAATACCATTTTATTCTTGAACAGAGAAGAATACTAGTAAACCTGATCACTGGTGAACTGAGGACTAGGGTGGGCTTTCTTGGTCAATGGAAAACCAGGAACCTTTCTGCAGCCATCTCTACACATTTTTTGGAAAGGATGACTTCTGACTGAGGTGGGCACTAGTTGTCTTGACAGAAGTCTTCACACAGAGATTTAAAAGCCTTTAAAGTAGACTGGAAGGTGGGAGGATCCAAAGAAAATCTGCAATGAGGATACAGATGGAGTACAATCACAAGAAGAATTCAAGGGAAAAACAAAACATCAAAGGACCAGGTCATTAAGTGTTTATATCTAAATGCTAAGAGTATCAGAATAAATGCATGAAATAGAAGCTACTACATTAGCTTATGCAATTGGAATGACAGAAAGAGGGTTAATGGAACATGATGGTTAAGAATACAACATTAGTGGATAAACAGGAAAGAGGAAAGGGGGGGGGGGGGGGATCTCTATACATGAAATAATGTTTTCCGGAGCATTCAAGCTCAGATAATTAACCTAAATAAATCAAAGGTCTCGTAATTTACATATATAGGTCAGGTTTAGCTGTTCATAAGTTCAAAAGACAAAAGTTTAAGAGTATGCTATAGACCATCAGATTTAGATGTTAATCAACATTCAGATGTATAATTCAACATTGGATCATCATGTGTATAAATCATGTGTATTTTTGCAAAGGAAGATGTTTTCATCAGTAACTTCAGCTTCCTGAAATAGACTGGAACAAGTGTGAGTAGTCAAACCTGGAATGGTAGGTTTGGTAATCACTGCTTCCTGACTCAGAAGAGTGAACTGACTTTTCAGTCCATCAAGATAGAGTGAGAATAATGATGCAAGAGAGTCATTTAGAAACTGTGATTATAATATAATGTGCTTTTAAATATACTTAAGAAAAGTGTACGGTAATATACTTGATTGGAAAATTACTAGAACTCATTGAAAGGTTCTCAACATTGAACCAAATATTTAGATCAACAATTCTTGCCCCTATTATGTTTAAGCAATAGTTAGAACTGAACTAGAAGATTGTTATATGGAAAAGGGATCTTAGGCAATATTCAGCATGGTTTTTGAAAATGATATGTCTTGCCTAATTAATATTTAAGTTTGATGGATGGACACAATGTATATAATATTGTATATTTAGAAGGAGTTTTCTAAAGTTCCTATAAATTATTTCTCCAGTTGACAGGCAATACTCACTCTATTGTGTTTTTGAACTGAGAACTGTTGAAAATATAGAAACAGGGGATACCAATGAAGGGTAAATGCTCAAATCAAGCTGATGTAATTAGTGAAGTACCACAAGAATCTGTATTAAGATCACATCTATTCCTAATTAATATAGGGCTCCCCAGCACTGATTCTGGAGGACTTGTGTGTTTGGAAGTTTACTTTCCACCACTGTTCTTAATTAAGCTTGCTTGAGTTTCGATCCAAAATGAAGAACCTGGGAGTGGTATTCACCCCTGGGTCGACTTTTGCCACTCATTTGCATTATATTGTAAATACTGTACTTATTTTTTCCATCAGAGGAATATTGCTAGACTGCATCCATGCAGGAATCTCTAAAACTGCACCTATTTAGTTAAATTAGGTGCAGAATTTGCAGCTAGAGACGCATCCTTACAAAGTTATCTGCAAGTTATCACTCTAGTCTCAGAGTCCTTGCACAGGTTTCCTGTTGGGTTTAAAGTTGATTTTAAAATCCTTAGATTTCTGTTTAA